TGTGTGCTTTGGGTAGCTTTATCATTCTTTATCATTTTTTAACTTGCCAAAGTTCGAGAAAAATACAAAATACCTTATGCGTGAAACATCGATCGACAAGCGACGCCATATTGTTTTCGTGTAATCAACAAGCTTCCTAGTCGTTTACTGATGCTTTCTTTACCTAGAATCCATTAGACTTTATTCTTTTCACTAATAAAGTTAAAGGAAAAGATATGGTGCTTTGAGATGGGAGATGTCGTGTGTTGCTGAATCTGACATCTACAAAAAATATTAGACAAGTTTTTAGACAAGCTCACGAAAACAATATGGCGTCGTTTGTCGATCGATGTTTCGCGGAAGGTATTTTGGTTTTTCTCACTCTAACCTTGGCAAGTCAGAAGCAATAATATTAAATATGWCCTAAACATTCGATTTTTCGATGAAGAAGAAGGATATTGTAATGTTTTCAACAAACTACTCTACGGAGACTAAAAACCTATTGGTAGCGAAAAGACTCCGGCCTATGAAACACCGTAAACTGAGCTCGATCGTTCCACTCAATCGTTAAGTTTTTGGCGTTCACATCAGATATTAAATGGCCTCAAATTTATTGCAGATAAAGTCACTAGATCATTTCCTCTTAGTTTTTTAGTACAAATAATAAAGTCTAATGGATTTCAAGAAAAGAAAGTGTCAGTAAACGACTAGGAAAAGCTTGTTGATTACACGAAAACAATATGGCGTCGCTTGTCGATCGATGTTTCGCGCATAAGGTTTTTTTGTATTTTTCTCGAACTTTGGCAAGTAAAAAATAATAAAGAATGATAAAGCTACCCAAAACACACATTTCATAGATTAGAGTATAGGAAAATAGGRAAATAAAGTCATCCGACTCATAAGTTGGTAGAAACGGACTCGATATGGCAGCTAAGTGAACGCTGTCCTTGGTCGCGTTTAGATCTCTACTTTCACTGATCGTATTGTGAAATGATCGCTCCAAATATGCTTCAAAATCATTTACAAATGTTTTTCAAGAGGCTATGTTTCTTTTTAACAAGTCTCATCGAAGTTTTGTTTTGGTAATTTCCTATGGTAGCGAAAGGACTTCATGATGGTAGCGAAAGGACTCCGGGTGGTAGCGAACCGGCAGTAGTGAAAGTGCGTGGTAGCGAAACGACCGGTATTCGTATAAAAAGTTCGCGTTTTGAAGTCTTGAGCTTAAGCGTCAAGTAGGGTTGGTAGGTACCGGTTGGTAAATCACGAACTACTTTTTTTTTAGTCATGGTAACATATTTCTTAAAGTGATTCTACACGTGGGCGAATTGGCGTGGGCGAAATGGTCCGTGGGCGAAATGACTGGTTACCGTTACATTAATCTTGTAACATTTGGGACATCAAGGTTGGAAGGTGGAATAGTACATTCACCTCTGGGGTCTCAGGTTCAGTCCCTGTTCTTGGCATCAGGTAGTGGAGTTTGTTGGGTCTCTAGTAACCTTGATTCAAGGGTTTTTGTCCATGTTCTCTGGTTTCCTTCCTCTACATGTACAAAACCTCACTCACTTTATTTTTGATTTGATCCATTAGTTAGCCATGCCCTGACTTGTATCAGCCCAGAGGTTGTTTCAGGGTTTGATCTGTGAGTTAGCCATGCCCTGACTTAGATCAACCCAAAAGTTGTTGCAGGGTTTGATCTGTGAGATAGCCATGCCCTGACTTAGATCAGCCCAGAGGTTGTTTTAGGGTTTCATCTGTGAGATAGCCATGCCCTGACTTAGATCAGCCCAGAGGTTGTTGCAGGGTTTGATCTGTGGGTTAGCCATTCCTTAACTCAGATATGCAAGTAGAGTTTCTTAGGTCTCTCCCTTAGTCTGTGTTCAACAGCCATTAGCAATAGAAATCAGTGTACCTGTGGTTTAATCACAATCATGTTCTTATTGTTTTATTTCAGGCTATCTGGGAGAATCAGTTTTATTATTTGTTTGGTTTTCTCTTCCTTGTCTTTGTTATACTGGCCATTTGTGTGTCACAGATCTCCATAGTAATAACCTACTTCCAGTTGGTGTCAGAGGTAGGTTGTAGTACTGGGTGTAAACAGGATTTCTCATGGGGTACAGTAATGCACTCTTTACTAGCCTTAAACTCATCCACACATATTATCCCCTTTTCTTCCCACATCTTTCAAAATACACACTATTATGATTGAACTGTCAATGGGGAGGGGTTGTAGAGGTCACAAGCAACCTTGGATACTTTATTCCCAACTCATCCAACCCCCCCCTCCCCCATCTCCAACCCTCATCTCAGTATGCTCCAATAATTCTGTAACTTATGAAAACAGAAATCCATATTAATTTACAAGTAAATTAAATTTATGTTGTGGCATATTTTAAAATTTATTCTTTTTCTTTTAACAGGATTATCATTGGTGGTGGAAGTCTTTTCTGATGTCAGGCTCCTGTTCTTTTTATGTTTTCCTTTATGCTGTATTCTATTTTGTTACCAAGGTATGTCATCATTATTGCTGTATGCTATGGATTCCATTATCTTGTAAATACTATTGGCCACAAGCACCTCCCTAACCATAAATTCTTTGTACATTTTTGACACTTTCAAATACTTGTTATTCTAGTACTTTTCATTGAAATGTTCAATTTTCCAGACTTACTAATCTTGAGATGTTTTCTCAAAATACAATTTTTTTTGCAAGTTAGATAAAAATTTAAAACTTGAACCAATCTCATTTCCAAAGTGGTTCATTTCTAAAGTGGCCAACAATCTTGGCTAATTTATGATAATACCTTGACAAAAATAATTTGATTACAAAAACAAACTAGCTTGAATTTGAGAATGTGCTTTATAATTRTTATTGTTTAAACAAATTCACATAGTTTACTTCTCTCTTTTGCTTTCAATCTCAGCTTCAAATCGTAGATTTCATTCCTGCCCTGTTGTACTTTGGTTACACCCTCATCATGGTGTTCTCCTTCTGGCTGCTCACTGGCACTATTGGCTTTTATTCAACATACTTCTTTGTGAGACACATTTACTCTGCTGTCAAGATTGACTAATATTTGTAGGAAGACACCTTGGTTTTATCACTGGCAAAGACAAGGGGATGTGGAAATATTTACCATGTTATGATTGAAGGTTTAATGATTGGTCATAAATACTGAGGAGAAATGGAAAGAGAAAAATAAGTTTTAGGGGCATGAGAAATGTGAGCGCCTAAAAACACTGCCTTAAAGTCTGATTGCATTTCATAAAACTGTTAAAGAGCATGACTGTACAGTCATGGTGCAAAATTCACAACATTAATTTTAGTGAATCAGTTAGGAACTTGTACATAGAGGTCACATGACTTTACTCTCCTCGAACCAAGTGATAATATCAAAATGGACCCAGAAATGAAAAGAGCATCCCACAATTGTTAGGATTAAAACAAAAGATTATTTTCATGTAACTTAATAGTGATATGTAATGATAAAAAGGTAAATTTTACACCATGAAAAGATGAAAAAACTGTCGTTTTGGACACTAGTCCTTCCTTTACTGTGACAAAACATCAGGACTAGTGTCCAAAACATCAATAAGTTTTTTAATCTTTTCACGGTGTAAAATTTACCTTTTTATCATTACTGTTTCATAGAAACACCAACACAGCTCACACTAGTTTTTAGCTACATGTAGTTATCTCTTAATAGTAATATGGGGCAATTGGATTTTATACCTACCATGGCCAACGCCTTCCTAAAAAAGAAAAAGAGCAATAGAATATAACAAAAAAATCTCTTAAATCATGAAACCTCAAAATTAGGAATTAGGTAGGAGTATTAGGGAAGTGCCCATTCATATATATTAAAATCTTATTTGAAAAACTGTGTTAGGTCATAAGTACTTATCATCATTTCATTTTGATACAAGTGCTTGGTTTGAGGGGAGGGATGGGGTGGGGTCACATACACATACAACATAGTCACACTACAGTTCATGAGACTACTATGCATCTATTTCAAGAAACGTTTTAGAAGGTGCTGTCACACTCATGGTCACAGCATTGCTTTTTCATATACCAATGGGTTTCTCGGTGACATGAAATTTTCTCTAATAGTTCTTAGTAGTTAATTACAATAGTATTGCCTATGTGTTACCTTCATTACAGTAGTTCATAGTTAAGCTAACTTCATACACTGTAGCTTCACCTATGCATTTGGCTAAGGCCAACTTCAGTAGGCCAATCAGATACCCTTCTTTCATCTGGTTATAAACTAATATTAGAGCAGAGTAATTCAGTTCACAAAGGAGGATTGTTCATGATTGATATCCCTACTTCTCCCCCCATGATTATTTATGGCACGTCTTGTATCAGACATGGGATATGGTAATGAAAGCAAGGTAAATGGAAGCAAGGCTAKTTTAGCAGAACCACAGTCGCATCACACCTGAGTCCTTCAGTTTAATTCCTAGACCTGGCATCTAATAATTATAAACAGAGTTTGGGTTTCTTGTGTGAAGGTTTTTCTCCAGATTCTTCAGAGTATTTCTTCCTCTGAATAATCTAACATGCTTAGTTGCAATCGCTAACCCAGATGTTGTTTCAGGGTTCAATCCCCTGTGACTTATAGCCATTATAATGACTTTCTTTTGTTCATTTAATTAGCAACAATTGTCTTACTATTCTCACGAGGGAATACAAATATAAATAAGAAAGAAAATTTGCTAAGCATCTTGTTATTGGGAGGCAAATGATTCCATCATGCAAATGCCCTATTGTGATCTCATACTAAGGTCAAACAGAGAAACTTATAACAAGCTGAGCCTAATTCATGGTACTGTGTCATCTTTTTCACAGCACTCATATCATATTTTAAATAAATTGAAGTAAAATATTTAAATATGATTATATCTACTTTTAAAATTTCTTTCCAATTTCCTTTGTCCTGCATTAATCTTAACAGGATATATTAATAACATTAATTTGGTAAATATTTATAAGTCTTAATTTACATGTAAAAAATTAAAGTCTAAGCTTAAGTGTTGTTGCAATACATACGGGTGGCTTTTTGAAACTTATTTTGTGAGTAGCTTGTTTGGGTCACATCAAAGGTACTAACTAGGACAGATGGATAGGGTTATATTATATATTTATATATTTTACAACTATCACTTCCCTTATGGTAGTAACTGTTCCCTGAGGTTAATTTACTCCACAAACAATACCACCACATTCTATTTTACAACATATAACTCTGAACTAACATGTTCATTTTTACGGAGGGAGGAAACTGAAGATTCTGGAAAAAACCATTGTGGCAAGTGAGATAATAGTCTCTTTTGCAGGCACTCTTAAGTGTCGGTCCGAGGGAAGCGTTTCGGACCAACACTACTAAGAATGGCTGCTGAGGAGACAGTCAGGGAGAGAACAACACATCAAACAAACCCAAATCAAATTTATTATGTTGCAGTCTGAGCTGGGGCTCAAACCCGGACCACAGCAGTGGGATGCAAGTGGTAAACTACTACACCACCCACTATATATTTTCGATTCAGTTGTTCATAGATACCAAGGTAAAAATGGGATAGCTTGCAGTCTAATGTTGTGCTGGCTAGTGGAATTTTCTGGTCATAAACATCCTCTACTACCAACAGTCTATCTGTTTTGAGGAGTTGTCCAGAATATTTACTGCTGTACTATCTGTGCCAAGTAGTGCCGTTGCTTTGTTAGCGATTAACCCCCTTGAATAAGTTAATAACATTTACCTTTCATTATGATTGACTAAGATGCAAGTGGGAATACTAGTAGTCTTTTCTTATAGAAATAATATTATAATAATAAAATCTGCAGAATAGTGACTAAGACCATTTCAAATAACTATGTAAGAAAATGGCTGGTAATTAGAAAAAATTTACAGGTTCATAACGCAATTAAACTGCTGACCCCCATGAACAGCCTTATATAGATCAAATGGCCCATAATGAGGTACTTGATGTTGGTCTAACTGATTTAAGATTAATAAACTGACACTGATGGTACCTATTTTGACAAAATTTTGCTTTTATTTAAAAACTTATAAAAAGGCACACATACAGTTGGATTCACACTTGGTACACGAATTGGTGACCTGCACCATGGTATATGTTATTCACAACCTTGGGGACCAGTCCTTACTTGGAGAAGGAAGAGGGATTACTTAGAAGAAGAGGGAAAAATGTGTGCATGCAAGCTGTTAATAAATGTGCATCATGATTGACAGGGGATGAAAAAATATCTCACTGCCACATCACAACATCCCATTTTGAATAATGATCAGTGCTTTGTACAATGCAAGCAGAGGTCTTTCTGCTCTGTCCTTATGCCAAAATGCAGGGCAGAAAAAGACCACTACAAGCAGAGTAATGTCAAGAGTTATTAAGTTGTCTAAAAATATGTAATTAGGCTGTAATTTACAATTTCATTTCATCTCTATAAGAGTATAAGCATGTCAAACTAAAGTTTCGAAGTAGTTCTAACTAGTTATAAACTAGATACGGAAAATATATTAAAAAGTAAGCAATCTTTCAAAACGTTTTCAGAATGCCAAGAAATCTGTGTATTTTTAAAAGTATAATTGAAAAAATAAAAAAAATTCTTGATATGAGATTGTTGTGTTTTTATAGATATAAAAATTCAGTTTTTGAACTTGTATATTTACATTTGTGTTGAATCTAAATAATTATAATTATTTTATTATATTTTTTCAGTTATGACTCTTGTTCTTGTGATTCTTGAAATCTTGCTTGTCTTTGTGCAAATTCATCTAATGCTCTTGCTTCTTTTAGTTGTYTTTCTTTACGAGATAATGTTGCCTTTTCTATAATTTGATTATTGTGTTCCTAAAAATATATGTAAAAAATAACATATTTGAATAATGGAGGTAAAAGTTTTGGTATTTTAAAAATAGATCTCAATAAGACTTGTATGTCAGTAACGAGTTAAAATGAGTTTGTAACATTTTGCCACACATACTGGAGGGGGGGTTGGGCAAAATAATTGACCGGTCCAAAATTTGGGGGCTCTGAAAATTTCATATTTTAAAATTCACCATCTTTGTGCCCCCTCCTCATTATATTAAATGAACCTTTCTATAGCACCCAAAAAATAATTACAAAGCTCCACATTTTTAAACTATCACAAAATTAAAAGCTCCCCACCCCCCTTCCTTCATAAAAAAAAGATTTACTACCTGAGTACAATCGATCAGTTCGATTGCTATTTTCACATGTATGTAATAAATTTGACCGTAAACTTCTTCATTTTTTTTGTAATAAAAAAATTCTTAATAAAATGTCACACTAGTTAGCGTTTTACTTTTTTTTGTAATGAAAAGTTTTTTAATAAAATGTCACGCTAGTTAGCGTGACGAGACAGGTGGACAGACAGACAGACTTCTTACCATTCTTCGTTCCTTCGCTTCTTCGAGTTTGTTTTTTATTTCTTCCTTGGTTCTTCGTTTCGCTTTTGGTTTTTTCTTTTCCAGAGTCTTTAGCTTCATTGGTCTTCTCTTAACATTACCAGTGTCAGGATAAAGTACAACGTCGAAAGCCATTCCACCTCTGCTTTGGGGTCGCTCTATAATGCTAGTGCTGTTGTTGTTATTCATCTCCTTGGTGAATGACACTTCCTTTCTTTCTTTGGGACTCTTCTTTCTTCTTGCGATTGAGGTACCATCAATACTAAGATCTTCTAAGTACAAAAATCAAAATCAACAAATCTGCTTAAAAACATCCGCAAGGCATTTTTTTCCCGTTACTGGTTGAAGTTAAGAAGGATTAGGAAAGTGGATTGCTTGGATGTTTGTTTGTCTAGATCTGTTCTTTGTGTAACAGTCACACCAAAGTGCAAACGATAAACTCATATCTGAAGAGTCATTATTGTATTGAAATCTTTAGTGCTAGAACCCAGCAGTAAAAATCGTATATTTGAAAAATATCCATTCTTATTTAAAATAAGGTTAAGAAAAAAATATTTATAATTATGCTAACCTGGTGTTTCAGGACGTTCTTCAACATTAGCTTCTTTTATTTTTTCCGGACTCGAGTTCTCGCTAATTATATTATCCTCTTCCAATTCTCCAACTCCGCTGTCTGTAGTACGAGTAGATTTAGCAGAATTTTCTCTGTCAGAGCGAGAAGCAACTGAACCCGAAGCTAAACTGGCTTGGCTTCCTCGTAAGCTGTCTTCTCTTTCAAGCTTTTTGCTAGTATCCTTGGACTCTAGATTTTTTTGGACTTTTTTGGGCATCTGAACTTCGACAACACCATTTGACTTGGAAGCATTGCAACCCATATTGAGAATCTACGGGGAAATAAAGATTGAAGTCAGCTTTCGAGAAAATAACTTACTCAATAAAGATTAGTTGAAAAGGTGTCCTTTAGTACAGACAAATGGTTTCTGGTAGAAAATTGACTGGAACATTTTCCGAATATTTTATAAAATCAAAACTTTAAAACATTGCCTCAACAAAGCTGTGCATTCCTGCACTGAAAACTTACCAAGAATTTCTAATATCTAAGTAGAACGACGTAATTAACTTAGAGAAGACCCAGCTTGCAAGTAAACACATAAATTCTATGCACTCGTTCTTTATGAAAGCAGCATGTAGCGTTGCTATGTAATCGTTTTGCTGTAGCCATAGATACGTATATCTTTGATGTGCGGTAACTAAGAAAGCCCGGAAGTACGTCATGGAGGACGTCACAAGTCTAGAAAATGCCCTCCGAAGTCTTTCCGATGTACTAATGACTTACAACGGAGATTAATCGATTGAAAACTTGAATGACGTAATGTTTGGATGACCGCTGAACTCGAAAGCGCCACCAAGTGGTTCTTGGTACATGCATGGCTAAATAGTTTCGAGTCGAAATTGTACTTTTAATATACCTTTACTAAAGAATTTAAAAAGGTAAGCTATGTCACCATTATCTTTAGTGATTCAAGGATATTTCAGTGTATTTTTCTCAGGATTTTAGCATATTTATTGAAAAAGAAAGTGCTATGTGTTCGACGTTGCGCGTTGGAGTGGAGAGAGGAAAGAACTTCAATATTATTTTTGTCGTCAAATTTCTTGGGAAACTAATATTTAGTCGTGTATAGAGAAAGTCATGCCTTTGCTTTCAGAAAGGGTTTCAGCTGACTAAAAATACTTTATTGTTACGTTTATTACTGACTACACTGACTGCCAGGCTTATGTTTTATTGTCAAACTTCACAAGCAAGAAACTTTATTCAGATTACTAGAAGGTTCATTATAGCTCACGTTATGAGCCCCAGAACCAAGAATTAAAGAAAATTCCATATTTGTTTGATAAAATTAACACCTGATTAACAAAATTGACATTGATGTAGACCTATGTTTTAGATAGAATACGCAATAAGTGGTTCTGCTTTGTTAATGCCACAATCTAAATATAGCTGAAGCTCATACCTACACCTTGAATCACTACTTTCTGAATGTTTGCATATATTGTGACATTCAGAAGACTTTTCATTTCACATACTTTACTTCTAATTGATCAGCCAGTAACATTCCCTTTTTGCAATTCAAATTTCATTATAAGACAGGATAATCTTTCGCTAATTTATGTTTCAAAAATATTGTATTGTTTTACACATTTTTTTTTTTGTAAAATAACCAGGACCCTGTTATATGAAGGATGATTAGTGCCACCTGATGGATAAATCCTTATCCAGTGGATAAGTCGATGCTGTTATCCAATAAATTTATCCACTGGATATAATTTATCCTTAGGATAGAGCTAGTTACCCTTCGTACAACTGGGCCCTGGTGATTTAGAATGTAGGCACACAATGGACTGTTTTCACAGCAGATGTTGAATATTTTTATTATCTCTCGTAACACAATAACTCTCTTCCACAGATTAAGAATTTAAAGATAGAAGAAAGATCATGTCATTTGGAGAGTATAATAACAGAGGTTCCTCCAAAGGTATGGGTTAATGAGTCAAGGCTATGTTCACAGCAGAGATGGCAGAGACAAAAGGGCTAGGTGGCTTTAGCTCCCCCCCCCCCCCCCCAAACCACTTTTTACAAGAATTAATTTTTTTTTTGTTTTGTCTGCAAATTATTTTAGGGGAGGGGTGGGGTGGATTGGATAGGGAGGAGAGGGTCCAGGCTACTAACATGTAATTAACCTTGAGAGAGGGAGATTTGTCAGGGCGGAATCACTTATTGTTAGGGTTATGTGATAGGGTTATAGTAGGGGAGGGATTATTTTATTTGAAATTTGAAAATGATTTTTTAGAGGGTAATGCCTATTTCATATGCCACTCCACTCATGTGCAGAACCTAATACAACTAGATTCAACTCTGAATCGTTTTGGAGTGACTACTGATTTAGACGGGTGAACTTATATGTCAAACTAAATTAAAGCAGTTTCAACTTGATATGGCAAGCATATTAAGTTCGACAGGGCTTGCCGTATTATGCGACACTAGGGACAGCTGATTCATACAGTACTATTTCGCAGTACTTGGTTCATTAATTAGGTTCAGCATATGAGTAGAGCATCATATGGAACAGGCCTATAAGCGTCATGAAATATAATACTTACAACTTGAGGAAGGAGTGGGTCTGCAATGATATAATTAAAATTTAGGAGGATATTTGTAAGTAAATGAGAATCTTCTTACCTAACTATATCTTAATTGAAGGAACATGGTTGTGGGCAGAAAAATAAAATTCCTTTACTTTGATAAAATTAATTCTTTGCCATTTGAAATAATCGTATTGCTCCTGCCATCCAACATGGCTGCCATCATGTGATCATATAAAACTTCTAAGGGTCTTGACCATACTATATGAATAATTTAATATCAAATTTTAACTTATTTTTTCCACTATTGGATGTCAGGTGGAGGAGATACAGAATATCAGAGACTGTGCAAATGTGTCAGTAATAATGTCCAACGAATCAACAGCAATGGTAAAATATTATTTATTTATCTATCTATCTATCTGTCCGTCTGTCCATCAGTCCATCAGTCCATCAGTCCATCAGTCCATCCATCCATCCATCCATTCATCCGTCTATTCATTCATTCATTCATTCATTCATTCATTCATTCATTTATTTATTTATTTATGAATATTATATATTGCTTTGAATAATAAAATGTTAATATTTACAGTTATATTAATATTATAATATTATTATTAATATTATATTATAATATTATTATTAATATTTGCTTATTTACAGTTTCAACAATCCAGAGATTGGTTGACAGAGTTGGCACTGCAGGCGATGTACCCAAGCAGCTGTAAGTTTGCCTTTCTTTGTTGGTACCTCTGTTATCATTTCAGATTGTATCTGCATTTCCAGTCATTTTTATGTTTTTGTTTTGCAAACACATTAATTTGATTTATGGTGGATATGTCATTAGACTCCCTATTTTACTGCTCTGTTTCTTGTTATTAAACTATTTTTTATAATTAAAGTCAGAAGACAGAAAAAGAAACACAGCAGCTGGCAAAAGAGACTGGTTCATATCTGAAGCAGCTGGTACTCCTGGAAGGAGATACACCCACAGAAAAAGTAATAGAAAAACAGTAGAGCCCTTATTAATCCTTTTACTACTACAGGCTAAAAGGGTCCAACACCGGCTCTTCCTGGAACATAATTAGGGTGTTTTTTAGTTCTCAATATCAAAATGAAAAACATATGCTCAGTACATATTGAGACCTTATAACACACATCAAAGCAGTTGATAAAATCTAATTGGTTAATGATCCAAAAAGCAATAGCCCACAATGTTTCAACACAGAAATGTATGGATGGGGATGGGTAATGAAAAGCAAAAATGCCTTTCCGTTGGCCGCTTTTGGCCACTCTAAGAAAAATGTTGCATTTCTGTTTGGCTGCTTTTGGCCGCTCTAGTTGTGAAAGGGTTAATGATTAATTATTATAATTATTATGAGCAATCCTCCTTGGGGAATTGTGAAGTGGCTTCTAAATAGAGATTAGCTGCTTAATAGGTGGCCACTTAATAGAAGTTCTGCTAACTGTATTCGTAGCAATAAATGATATTATTTAATGGTAATATTTCACATGCTATCATCACCCCACTCAATTATGACTTTTTTTAATAAGAGCTGCCAAAGTTATTTTCATCTAGGTCTACAAATTTTCTTTGAATTTGAAATTTGTAATATTCAATGRCAGTGCTTGTCATTACATATTTATTTTTCATATTTTCGGCAATAGGCTAATCAGTCTACAAATCCAGTAGCCCAGTAGAGTAATGTACTAGCCCATATAATTAGTAATCCAAAAACCCACTAGCACATAGACTAGTGCAAGGGCGGATCCAGGGSGGGCTAAGGGGAGCTGAAGCCCCCCTTCAGCAGAAAACAAAACAAAACTGAAGAATTAGATGCTCTTTTTATCATTTTCTGTTGTGTTGATGGAAGAAACTCAATTAGCCATCCCCCCTAAAATTTTGGCTGGATCCGCCTTTGTAGTGAGTCCTAATTTTCCTAATTTTTTCGGCCCAGAGCGAAGATTTACTAGCCCCAGACTAGTGGACCAGCCTTAGTGTTCATAACTGAACGTTTTCCAGAGTAAAGACCTTTGATTGTCTTTTGTCTGGTAGGCCAGTATATAGCATACAGTGTAGTGTAAGACTAGATGTTGCCACACATTATGATGTAGATATCTTTCTTTCTAGCGCCAACGAAAAATGCAAGTTGACAGACTCACCAATAACTTTTCATCAGCCTTGAACAATTTCCAGAAAACCCAGAGGGTAGGTGTTATATTATTCATTCTGTCTTCTTACATTCATCAATACTCCATTTTACAGTTCTGTTTGAGTGACCACGAATAATAGTTGCAAGTCGAGGCTGCAGTTTCCGCGCATAGCAAAACTATACTTTTTATCATGCGCAGAAACTCCGGCCTCGGCTTGGAACGGAACTGTAAAATGGAGTATTCAAGGCTTGAAATAACAGCTGGTCAACGCTTCCTCTACCCATAAAATATGAGCCGACCCAAATAATACTAAAAGGACTACTTGATATTATGATATAGGTAGCTGCTGAAAAGGAGAAGGAGTACGTATCAAGAGCACGAGCTTCATCAATGGGTGTTTCTCCAAGTGTAAGTCTACTATAATTTTCAGTTGAGTTTGGTGTGTCAAACGGATTCATCTTGTCAGTTGTCTTGGAAACATTAGGGGCTGACTTTGAAGCAACATTGACAACCTCAGAACGGCTAGTATATTTGATTGATTGATTAATAAATATATTTTAATTTTATTTAGTTTTACAACTCAAAATGTCGTAAGATTATGATAGTATGATTCCTTTGGTTCATTTCAGCCCATGGGAGGATACAAAGACAATTCTACTTTGATTGACTTTGATAGGTCAGTTGATTTACCAGTCCAAATATTACAATCCACACACTTATATATTATTATTATTATATCGTCTCCATCTTTCCTGAGAATATAAATTTTCAATAGCATTTTATTCAAACCCTGATGGATCCAGGACTAAGGGAATTAGAACTGCTGATATTAAAGGGAAACAAAAAAATAGATAAAACTAATTTTTTACTTTGATAATGCAGGGAGGGGTTGCCCAATTCTCCTGAGCCGAGGGATCGTGTTTTAGGCACTAGAAGGTGCACCCTTTACCCCCTCAGACCATCAGTGCTCCTTATTACGGGTATTAGAGAGAAGTTGAAACAGATGTGCAAATCACGAGGATTGAGCTGTGGACCTCTACCTCTTAAGAYTACGCACTCACCAGAGAAAATGATTTTTTACTGGATATTCTTTAATTAGGGCGTTCGTAGTTGTCATTTAGGGGGCTCAATTGTGGTTTAAGGGGTATCAGATGAACCTCACAGATTGAACCCTGGAAAAACCTCTGGGATAATCTGAGTCAGGGAACAGTTGAATCACAGACTGCGAGCAGTCCCTCTATTTCCCTTGGTCACTGTCCGTCCCTGGGGAGGGGGTTGGGGAGGGAGGAATAAAAATAAAATAAAATATTGACACGGACAGATAGACGGACAGTGACCAAGGGAAATAGAGGAGCTGTTCGCAGTCTAGGTGAATCACAAATTGAACCTCCTTTTAACACCTTGGACAATCTTCATTGCAAGCTCACCAATCTTCTCACTTTGATGCAAAGGCATGGCTACCTTTCAAGATGGGGCAGGGAACTATGAAGAGACTATTTCTTTAGTAGGCATTAAAATAGACTGTTTGTCAACAGAACCAGCGGAGGAGGGGGTGGAGGGCTACAAATCCAGTCAGAAGAAGAGGTGTCTCTGGAGGCAATTGAAGAAAGAGAAAGAGCCATCAGACAGCTAGAGGTATTGTTCGTAATAAAACTTTCAAAAACAGTGGTGCCTGTGTCCACTTGATAGAAGCAGTAAAYATGGGAAGAAACCTTCAAGAGTGTGCTGGCAACTATTTGTCTGTTAAATGAAGTATGCCTGCACTTATCAAACTAAGTATCACGACTGTACAATATTAGTTTTTGAATAGCATGACCTGTGAGCAGTGGTACGATGGCCATCGTTCTGACGTATTTCCTTTTTCCAAATGACACATCAACATAAGCAAAAATAACTGTAATAGATGTAATTGTAGTATTTTATTCTTTACTGCAACAACCAGAATTTTGAACTCAAGTCCAAAACTGCGAGAAAAATCATACCATCATACTATCCTCAGTTCAAACCCTTTGTCTTAATACTCTGACTTATAGTACACTCAACAAAATTACTCGACTCTGATTGGTCGAGAGGAGTACAATTATAGCGTTAATTGTACTCCGTAGGAGTACCGAATTAAGTCGCTATGGCAACACGGCCAAAACAATGTCAAAACAATTATTTTCTATCATTTTGTATTTAAAAAACATATGAATAAAATTTTAAGGCCGTAAGAACTAATGTTTTTTATGCATTTCAGTTGCGCGATGGACCGAAAATCGGCCGCCAAATAGACAAAGATGAACGGCGTCGCTTCGCAAATTTTGTTGAGTGAACTATAAACAAAAAATCGCACGATCTTCTCGTACAATTTGGAATTAATAGACACTCGTAATGTTTTGAAAGTTCTTTAATTGCACTCGCCTAAAGGCTCGTGCAATTACAAGAACTTACAAAACATTACTCGTGTCTATTAATTTCCAAATTGTACTCGAGATCGTGCAATTTCCTATACTAATAGGCTGATGTTATTACGATCATTCAATCCTCAGTTCAAACCCTTTGTTTTAATACTCTGAATAATAGGCTTATATTGATTAGATCATGCGATCCTTCAATGGTTCAAACTCTTTGTTTTAATACTCTGAATAGGCTGATATTATTGGTGTGAATGAAATCTTCAGAGATCTAGGAAACATGGTCCACGAACAGGGTGAAGTCATAGGTAAGATATACGGTACAATGACCTTTTGGTTGGTATATCTCTGTAGCTAATGCTTGTGTAGTATCGCCACATGTAAGGGAATCCGGACTTACGGTGGATTCCGGATTCCAAGCGCTGGATTTCGGATTCCAAGGGTCTGGATTCCGGATTCCAAAACTTATGTATTGCGGATTCCGGATTCCATATCGTTAATTTTCAGATACTTTTTCTGAAAATTATATTTGATATACTTACCAGTATAAGTAGAATCGTCTATCAATTAAATCAGCATCCGATGACATATATTCTTGGTGAAGATATTACGCAGTGGGGGAGGGGCTACATGGGTTCAGTCTAGGTCGAGGCGATAGCATTTAAGTGTATACTTTTAATTTCAAAGTAGCGGATTCCGGATTCCAAAAGGGTGGATTCCGGATTCCATCATAAACTGGATTCCGGATTCCATCATAAACTGGATTCCGGATTCCAAGGCCTGGATTCCGGTTTCCAGAGTGCTGGATTCCGGATTCCAAAGCCTAAAATTTCGTGGATTCCGGATTCCGGATTACCTTAAATGGGTTCAGTAGTATCATAGTTGTGATGCTTTGCATGGACGATAGGGCTTTGGGATACCTGATACCTAATGTGTTAATTGTGTTTCTTTGAGCATTCATGCAAATATTTTCGTTTGAGCCATCATGCACTGCTTCGGTAAAGCTTTTTGCTTTGCGGCTAACCCATAATTTTCGGTCAAACAACAACTGAAACTCATTGTGTTTGCATTGCAGACAGTATTGAGGCAAATGTAGACAATGCTGCTGTGCATGTCGAAACCGCAAATCAACAATTATCTAAAGCCAGCAAATACCAGGTACCTTTATTAATACCTAACACATGGTAGACTGAAATGAAATGAAATTAGTTACGAGAAAAGGGGACAGACGTCAGGGATGGAGTAGTTGACAAAACATTCACCTTACACCACAGTCAGTCCTAAAAGTTATGTCATCGTTTTGATTATTTTACACTTCTTTACCTTGGGCGTAATGTTTGCTTATTTCAGACCACGTGTCCTTCTCTTGAGAATAAGATTCTTTGTTTGAGTTATATCCATATTCATGCGTCTTCACGTGCGCAACCGTTAAACAGACAAATGATACTCTGGGGAATGACACGTGATCTTAAAGGCGCGATTACACGGAGCAATTTTTTCTGCAACTCGTCTCGCAAAAGCGTTGCAACACAAGTTGCAAGAGTGTCTACACGGTAAGAGAAACGAATTCTACTTTTTGCTTCGATTGCTGCAACTTGTCTGGCAACATTTTTCAAATTGCGCTGTAGGTTACACGCTGCAATGCTCCATGCAACTTGTGTCTCATTAAATGGGAAAACATTAATTAATGTATTAATGTAACCATCCAACCTTGTTATCATAGTAACGTAACCATCCACCCTTTTTGTCATGGTAATGCAACCATACGACCTTGTTGTGATGGTAACGTTACCATCCACTCTTGTTGTCATGATAACGTTACCATCCACTCTTGCTGTGATGGTAACGTTACCATCCACCCTTTTTGTCATGATAACGTTACCATCCACTCTTGCTGTG